TTCTTTCTTTCTTTCTTTCTTTCTTTCTTTCTTTCTTTCTTTCTTTCCTTCTTTCTCTCTTTCTTTCTTTCTTTCTTCCTTCCCTCCCTCCCGCCTTCCTTCCTTCCTTGCTTCCTCCCTTCCCCATCTATTTTTATTCATTTATCCTATTGTTACTAGTCCATTAGACTTGGATAGTTTCCATAAGTATTTTCACAACTATTAGAACTTGAATTTCAGGAGGCAGTGAAGTCTTAGCTCTTTTAATAAGGCTGTGATTCAGTATATTTACAGAGGGAGTGGTTTCTGAACAAATAAGTTAGCTTAGAAAAAAAAACCCAGACCCAGCCAAACATTTCAACTTCTAATTGATCTCTTAAATTCAATCAGAAAAATATAGGAAGAGGGTTTTTATATTCAAATATGTTAACACCTATCCAGGAGATAAAAGCAAGCAGGGATCATAGGATGAAATTTGCATGCTAACAAGTAAATATCAGTTATTTGATAATATAAAATCCATAATTCAGTAGAAAAGTATTTTCATGTTGGAGAGCTGATGGTTGATCTACAACTAATATTTCTTAGGTAGAAAACACTACTTGGATCTTTAGAAAACAACTGAGCATTCTGCTCTGGAGTGACCAATGATCTGACTCTGTTGAAGTAGTACATTCTGGTGTTTCTAAAGTCCTCTATTTTCAACACATTGTTCATTTATCAAGCATCACTGGATTTCAACAAGATTAATCCTCAAAGAACTAGAAGCACATTAAACCAAACAAGTGTCAGTGTTCCAATGAAACTCCCCATTTTGTTTAGCACTCAGAAACAAAGTTCATCCAAGTAAGAATTTATTGAAGAAATCATATTGGCACATCTGCGAAAACCCGAATCTATTTATTTTATTTATTCATTCAATTTTGTCAATTGCTTACAAGATAATAGGAATAAGTAAAAACACAGTTATGAATACATGGATACATATAAAAAAAAAAAAAGAACAATAGGACAGGGATGGTAGGCAAGTTGGGTCTTGTTGATGACCCAAGCTCTGTAAAGGACCTTGGAATACTCACCTCTAATGATCTAAGTGCTAGAGC